TGGGATCCACGGCAAGTTTATGAACAGTTAAATCCGGGCTAATGCTTGGCATCTCTTCTACTTCAAAGGCAAAGATGTCTTTGAATTCTTTCAGTAGATTGTGCAAGTTTGCACCCAACTTTGGAAAAGCAATTGTCTCAACCTTAACAGTATGCTCCGGAACGATGTCGATGTGTTCACCAGCCGGCTTGGGATGGAGTTCATGTGACCGTTCCCCGGTCAGTGATTTCTATTGCTTCTCTTTTTTTACGGCCACCAACTGCTCGACCTTTCTCTTTTTGCCGGCTACTATTGGAGCAGGCCCGGTTTCCTTGAGTTCATCAAGGTCAATTGGTTCCTCACTTTGGCCGGCCATGGCTACTGTGGGCTTAACGTCTGAGAGATAGCACTCTCTAGCCGTCTTCTGATCCCCATTCAAGGAGCCTACGGACCCGTCATCCTTTTCGAATTTTAGGAGCATGAGGGATGGAATAATAAGAACCTTAGATTCGTTCAGTGTTGGACGACAAAATATCAAATTATAGGCGGTCAACTCTTCCACGACCAAGAACCGGACTACCATGTGGCGTCCTTCCCCCTTCTCCCCTACCGGGTGCACTACTCCACCCCCAAAACCAACTAAGGGGTGAGATACTTTGTGCATACTGCGGGGCTTGTGCTTGAGCTTTGCCAAGCACTTGTGGCTTATAAGGTCAGACGAGCTGCCTGTGTCAATAAGGATTCGGCCTACCTTCTGGTTGGCCACTTTGCATTCAATGACTATGGGGTCATCATGTGGTCGCCTGACCTTGCCCTTGTCCTTCTTAGTGATAACGACCTTAGGAAAGGTGTCTCTAGACGCTTAGCCCTCATCAACTAAGCTGACATCCAGCCGCCTGATATAGTCCTTGGTATCCCAGATGGTTGGGCCTCCTCCAGCAAAGCCGCCAACTATGATATAGATCGGCTCTTCATCAATGTCCGAACTATGAGCAAGTTGGGCTACCTTGTTGGACGGCTGTCCATTGTTCGTCCTCAGGGTTACCTTGGACTTCAGAATGTAGGATTTCAGTACCCCTTTATCAGCTGGACGGTCCAACAGCCGCTTGAGGCTATAGCAGTTGTTGGTGTCATGGCCAATGTCCTCATGAAAGTGGCAATACTTGTTTTTGTTCCGATTTTTGGCGGAACCTTTCATTGCAGCCGGTTTCTCAATTGTCACCCGGTCTTAAATTTCCATGAGGATGGAGTAGCAGTCCTTGTTAAACTCGTACTTGGGGACGTACGGTTTAAACTCTTTCTTCTTCTTCTGGGATGGCTGTTCAGTGTCATCTGCCACCTAGATTTCTTTTTTCTTATTGCTCTCTTCTCTTTTAGCCGGCTGAGCGGACCTGTTAGACTTTTTGGGGTCCGATTGCTTGCTAATGGAGCAGAGTTCAGTTGCCTGTATAAAAGGCTTCCGCCTCCATCAGAGCTTCTTGGAGGGTGGCTACCCTCTTTTTGACGAGGTCGAACTTGAAGGTCGACCCATCCTTCAGACCTTTAAAAAAGTCTGTATAAGCCACTTCGTCAGACAGCCCTTGAATCTAAATTCTCATCAAATTGAACCGCATGACATAAGACCTTAGCCCTTCTCTATCTCCCTGCTGTATTGCACCCAAGTGAAGACTTGTTTTCTTAGCAGGGATATTCATAGAGAAGTTAGAAGAAAACAAGTACGCAAGAGTCTTGAAGCTATTGATGCAGCCGGCTGGTAGGTTTCCAAACCATCGTTGGGTGATGCCCTTCAATGTAGCTGGGAAGCACCGACACCAGGTGGCATCATCCAACCCCTGTAAGTACATGAGGTTGGTGTAGGCCATCAGGTGATCTTCAAGGTTGGTTGTTCCATCATAAGTACCCACCATAACATTTTTAACCTTGGTCGGTTGTGCCGCCTCAGTTATCTCCCTGGAGAACGCAGAAGGTTGTTCCCCAAGTTTTAGCAGACGAAGATGCTAGTCTAAAGGTTGGACATTTGTGCCGCCTGACCCCAAAGAGGGCCGGTTGCATGTATGGTTGTCCATACGGCATGTATGGCTGTTGTGGCACATACAGAGCCGGATGGATTATCCGAGGGCAAGTGTGAACGGACAAACCGCCTGACTGACTCTCTCGGTTTGATTTCGAATACCTCATCGAGGTATTTTGAAAGCTGTCTGGGTAAGTCGACGTTGAAGCCGACTCGAACAGTTGTTGATTTTTCTTCTGTTGGATTAACATTCGGGCATCAGAATAAGTCTTCTTTGAGCCATCCAGCTAGACATGCTGGATGGCCTTCCTCTTCCCTGTCTCAGGGAATCAGATTTTAGTAAGATCGATCAAGGGCCGCTTCCCCTCCTTTGATTTAGGATGTGGAGTGGGCTCTCGGTCCGTGACCGGTTTGTTCTTCACAGAGAGAGAAGGTTTCTTGGCCAAATGACCCCTGTTGGAGCCAACCGTCTTCTTGTCGATCAGGTCCTTAATTTCCCCCTTGAAACTTGTCATGAATTTCATGAGTTTGTCTCAATTAATTAGGGTTGTGCCTTCTACCGCCTGGTGTTGTCCAGATGGCTGTCCGGATGATTTACTAGGACCAGCTTGTTCATCGCCCCGTTCCCTTCTTTCTATGAGACAGGTGCGTCTGGTTCTGAGTGACACGTCAGCGGCCATATATGTTTCGACTTCAAAGTCGTCATCAGTGTCATGGTCCGAATAGACCTCAAATCCGGCCGCAGGCCGTTTCTCATTAGGAGGCAGTACAGGTTTTTGTGAAGCCACCTTAGAGGTACTCTCCCCACAGACGGCGCCAAATGTTTCGGGGTTTTCTGTGTCCCTCGGGAGAGTTACAACACCAAGACTGGATTCCGGGCGCCTGTACCTACAAAACAACAGAGACTCCGGTTGGGTGGAGTTCCGCCTCCGACGATCAAGTTAGAACGTGTTCAGAAGAAGTAAAAAGTGCGGAAAGTAAAGTAGATAGTATCTTCTCGGATTCCGAGATCGGGAATATTCTCTGAGGTGAAAGTTAATTATCTGCAATCATTGACTGCTCTGATTTGTTCGTGTTGAATGAATGTGTATGAGTGACTCCCAAGGTGGGAACATCTCCCTATTTATAGGGTCTTGGGATTCGTGCCGCTATCCTAGGGCACGGAAGCCTAAAAATGGATGGGCTGTCACGAGAATCGGGCCTGAAGGCAATCTTTTTCCATGCTGACTGGGAGTGCCACGTGTCAACTTAGGATTGGTTCATTTAGAACCTCTCCTAGGGTTACACGTGTCACCTTCTGATTGAGCGACGTGGCCTGAGTATTTTTACCTAATACAATAACTAATATTTAATGATAATAATTAATATTTTATATTATTTAACAAATTTGTAATGTTATAATAATAATAATAATAATAATAATAATAATAATAATAATAATAATAATAATAATAATAATAATAATAATAATAATAATAATAATAATAATAATTGTGAAATCTGCTCTGCTCTACTGAAATCTGCTTTGCTCTGCCGAATCTGCTCTGCTCTACCCTGCTCTGCCAAGAATCTTAAAAGAACAGGGCCTTAATCTTTTGATATTTCAAAATAATACAAACTTTGAGGGGTATCCGATTTAAACAAGATAATTTACCCTATTACCTATATGACCGATTGACAATTTTTTTATTTTTTTTATATTTTTGATAAAATCATTTAGGGGGCGTTTGGTTCGCAAACTGGTATGGGGTTAAAATCAAGAATGAAACCATAAGAATGAAACCATAGTGGTATGGCCATATGGGTTTGGAACTTGATTTTTAATACCATATCTTTGTTATGATCATGAAATGCAATTTTCCTTTTATTTGATACCTAAAAATATGGGAATGAGCCAAACCCACCTCCCCCCTAGGTTTTTAAACCCCACACTATGGGGGTTTGAGGTTTGATTGGGTTTGTAACACTTAAAATCATAAAACAAACATAAGGTATGAGTTTAAACCAATCTAAACCCATACCTTTATCTTAAGTATGTGAACCAAACACCCCCTTCAGAGTTTAATTAACATCAAATTAAAACTTTAACTGTGGTTAATTATCTAAACAACTCTTAACTAAATAATTTAAACAATTAAGTTATAAATAACTCCTAATTAAATATAAAAAAATTTATTCCTAAAAAAAAAAAATTCAAAAATAATAACCACCCCCTCCCACCTCCCCCACCAGCCAGCCACCCCTCTCGCTGAGGAGCCCGCCCTTCCTCCACCCACCCCCCCCCCACCGGAGCCCTCCCTGACACCACCCCTGTCATGGCCATTCCTCAAAACTCCCCTCCCTCCCCACGAAAACCCCCCTCCTTCCCCACGAAACCCCTCCCCCACCCCCGATTCCCCGAAACCCCCAATCTCCCCTCCCCTCACCCTCAAAAACCCTACCCTCTAGGATTATAAGGTTTGGGGGGAGGGGCGATCGAGGTTTCAAGGGTGGAGGAGGGGTTTCGTGGGGGTAGCAGTCAGGGGTGGGCAAAGGGAGGTGGCGGGATGCCAAGTTGGGTCGTCGACTGCTGGGGAGGGTGGCTGGAGAGCTGGCAGGGCGTCGCCGAAGGTTTGGGCGTCGGGGAAGGGGTTGTTGGCAGGGAAAGGAAAGGGGTGGCTCCTGGGAGAGGGGGTTGTTTTCTTTTTTTTTTTTTGTAACAAAAATAATAATAATAACAGTAATTAATACTTCGTATTATTTAATGTCTTAAAATAATTTTTTTTTTTAAAAAAAGGTTAAATTGTCAAGCCAATAAAACATGTGTTTTTTCAACAACAAAAAAAAAAAAAAAAAAAAAAAAGCCCCTAATATGTGTCCTACATGTCCGGTTAATTAAGTTATCAACCAGTCATAATTTGTGTTAAAAAGAAATAATTAAAAGGTTAAATTTTTTAGCAGACCTCAATGTTTGTTTTATTTTTGACAAATTTTCCTATCATAAAACAAACAAATGCATGTGACATATCGATGGTTTCACTTAGTAGTTACTTTCTTTATAATTTTAAGAGTAAGTATTGATACAGATAAAGTTTAGTATTCATATAACCTATCAAAAATGTTTATATTCCCTTTGATGATTCTTTTCCTCCTGTTGACCTCAACTTTCACAATGCAGACTACTAACAAGAGCTATATCCCACAAGATAAACTTTAGAATCACAAGATGTATGAACTGCACCCTTTAAACAGAGGACAAAATGCTGTTGTACATTAACAGCTGACCACCAGACTAAAAATTTTCTCACAATAACTGTAGTATAGGACACAGAGATCCCCGGAAAGCCGATCAGTAATCACCATAGCAGTAAGCCAGTAATCAAAAACCCAGTATTTGAGGAGCTAATTTTGATATCAGAGGATAGTCGGATTAGGTACATCCATAATCAATCCTGAGAGAGACGAACTGCAGCCTGCCGAATCAACTCAATAAGTGCTTCATCCAAAACATCAAGTGCACCAGAACTGTGAAGAGTACGGTAAACTGGGGCAATCCTGTTTGCTGCAACATCAACCAATTCCCATTGAGAGAATTTAGCAGCAAGTTGGATTACTTCAATTGCCAACGCTGGTGAATCCAAGAAAGACGTGATAACTCTTGAATACTCATATTGTGCATTGTTCAAAAACCAGTATTCAGCGAGCCAACAAAGCTCTATGAAAGGGTGCAGCTCAGATAACTGTTCCTTAACATCCATATTAGCCCACAAACAACCAGAAACCGGTTTTGGTACGTCAGTAGAATACACCCACATGACTAGCTTACATAAGGCTTTCCAACTGACAGGTATTTTTATGGAATGCGAACAACTGCGAATTCATTAAAACTATTCATGTAAGAAGGAGATTGTACAAGATAGGATAAAAAGTGAAAGGTGAGATATCTATATGAAAAAGTAAGCTATAAAGGCTAATAAGAAATAGAATTCAAAATAATCCAAAGGAATTTTCTATATCAGTTAATTACAGCCTCTATTATAAGATTTAACTTCTCAAGGACAAGGCTACACCTTCCACTTGCCTGTACCATGATCCTTAAGAGGTAGTGGTACCCTCAGAATTCTTCCAGCACACATATTGGACTGCTACAGTGTACGTTTCTAAGGACGAGTTTGTACTATTTTCTATGACTAAAGGCTTTGGGGATGCAAGAGCACATGGGACTTGATAGAAAATACTACAATAGAAAAAGAAATCATGAAGATGACCCAATGAAATTAATTTTTGGTAAATGTGGCCGAACCCTTGTATGATCAAGGCTCTGTGTTACTTCGTATTTGTTAAGACAAGGGCTTTTCGTAAGGTTAGAACAAATTAGATATACAGGTTAAACAAGGAAGAATTACATATACAGCCTACAGGGATATCAAGAGAAACACAATCTTAGGGTTTATTGCGGAATGTCTCAGAGGATATATAGTCTGACCTGCACTAATGGCTGGTAAGCAATCACTACAAATAAATCTTAAGCACACAACTTGTTATATTTTTGTTCAGAGAAGAAGGGAGAGTTCATATTCTGCTCTACAAGATTACTATTTAGCAGCAAAATTTATGGGTACCACTTAGAAAAAACCAACTCTTAATCCTAGAAATATAACAGAAACAAGCAGACAATTGATAACTTGATAAGCCAGCAAATAAACACCCAAAGCAAACAATTTTGTGAAAAATTGCCCCCATAATTTGTAGAATCAATTTTAAAATGGATAAATGGGTTAACATATTGGAATATAATCCTCTTTTTTAATATGCTCAACCCACACTTTTGTAGATCAAAAGAAACAGCAAAAAAGATAGATAAATTTTATTACCTTTCTTTCATCCCAGATTGAAATAAAGCCCTCATGTAATCACAACTAGAGCTTAATATTACTCTGTGAGAATGGATGTGAGGCATAGATATAGAGCAGCAACTGCAGGTCCATGCTATACTTTCAGTTGATTCAGATTCCAAGATAATATCACTGAAATAGCAGCCACATAAATACATCAGTAGATGCAGGAAATAGCATGACGAAAGCAGAAGTCAATCATCAAATACAAATATAAACAGAACTTCAGCACCCTGTCCAAGACGTCAAATAAATAGTAGCACTTTATTCAATTGCTTGACCATTTAATCGGGATTGGTTCAATTCAATCACAAAATCAGCTCCAAACAAAGGAATGATAAGAGGCATGATGAAAACCTAATGCTTCTATATAGCATCTCTGTCCATTAAATAACAACTAATTAAGTGTCTACTATATAATAGCCCTTAATTCTCTTTTCGTTAAAAAACATGTTGTAGATAATATGACGGCAATTCAATTCGGCTAAAAGGTTTTTGGAAAAAAAGGCTTATGTTCTAAACATCTAAAAGAGCACCACATGGTATTACAAGTCAAATTAAAAAAAATGAAAATTTTCATGAATCACAGAATCAAATTATGTAAATACATCTCAGAGAAAAACACTCACGAAAAATGAAGTCCAACGTGTCCGAGAGTTGTCGAAAGATCAAAAGTGGGCACAGGAGCAGCCCACTTTGGCCTTTTTCGGCGAAGAAGCTGTAATAGAGGTTGTATATTGCAATGTTTTGCTAGCATTCTTAACTTTTTTACAATGGATCCTTCAGCTCGCAGATAGCCAGAGTATATATAGTCCAACAATTTGAAAATTGCTTGTTGGTCAACTTGTGCAGATAGAGTGACTTCCTTCTCAGTCCGACATCTGTCAGTAAATTCTCTTGCAGGAAAATCAATGGACCTGGATAATTTGTCTTCATCTGAAGGTCCTTCAGGTGGGAGCAGGGATGGGCACCGATTGAGAAGAATAATCTGATGAACACTTAAAGACTGCCCATCTCGAAGAACAAGACGCATATCTCCATGGTCTGTCTCTTGAACTGATGCAATTCTTTTACCTAGTTTACTGGGGAAGCCATAGATCCCCAAGAAGCTAAGGAGGTATGAACAATACCATCTCAGTCCAGTAGAGGTAGTATCAATAGATATATCCAGGATATCTTGGATAAACTGTTCCTTCGTGTAAATATTCTGCCCAGCAAAAATATCTAACACATGCCCCTCATTTTCATGACAGTTGATCAATTCAGCTAAACTCCACAAAGCCAAAAGCAAGTGAATTTCATTGCCTTCCCAATCTTCTTCATCAATTCTACAACAAGTCCGCTCCATAGCTGTAATTCTTAAATGAGAGGTCAAGGATACTTTGTCAATATGGGAAGCATTATCTAACCACCATCTCACAAAAGCCAACAGAATTTTAATTCCTCCATTTGTGACAACCTGCCTATAGAAGTGAGGCAACCCAGAATAGCATGTCAAACCTATCAGGTTAATTAGTAATTGAAATTTATCAGGTATCCTAGATATGTCGCCAGAATAAACAAAATTCAGAGCATATAACAGCTGCTTTAGATGTTCCTCGCCCTCAAACCTGAGTGCTTCTAAAAGTACCAATCTTGCTTCTGATGAAAAATACTTGCTTGGAGAATACATCATCAGCAAAGTGGCTTTCGCTGCTGATACGCTCCTGAATTTATATGTCCGATCAGCCTGACGAAGTAGGCGTTCTCTGCCTATTGAGTCCACGAAGGCCAGACTTTTAGATACGTACATATCAATAACAAATGAATACAAATTAGCACTAACTCTTTCTGAATCTGAACATAATAATACTTGTGTAAAAAAGAATTAATAGTTCTGAAGAAAAAAAGCAAAAAAAAAAAAAAGAAGACATGCCATAAGGCCCATAAACCATTACCATGCTGTAGTAACCAGGTGACTGACACAATGCTTATCGGGATTAAAATTTTCTTCACACTGAGCTGAAAGCCATCCAATAATCTCCCAAACAAAAGGTCTCAAATCCAAAAGAAAATTGGCACCCAAACCCTCTCTTACCATAACTATAAGATCCTCAACTGACAATGACTGTTGATATGGCTGGAGAGTCTGGTAATTGGGCATCAATAATTGGATGAGTACTTTATCAATTCTAAACCTCCACAGATGATCATGATGCTTTCCTTGCCACTGAGTAATCAATGCCAGACGAGAAGCTTCTAACCTCAAAGACTCTTCCTGATTAGAAAATTCCTCATGACGCACGCTTGAAACAGTCAATGCCCGGACAATAGACCTGACTATAGGTTCACAAGATAAATCCAACACTTCTGAACACAATTTCTTAGTAGCCTGGATAATTGGATTGCACAAACTTTAGAACAAGGAGAAACAATTGACACTTATAAGTCATATACTAACAGGGCATTTCCTGGCAACTCTTGATTGTTACCATTATATATTGTGCGATCTTGAATGCAGAAATTCGAACTGAAAGAGGCTGAGATTCGCCCATGCATTGCACAACTGTTTGTATGAAGACATCCCCATTTTCCAGAAGCTTTTGTGCTCCATTAGCACATAGAGCTGAAAATCACGAATCATTTTACTCAACTTAGATCATCTGGGAGAATGAATCAGCTAATGGGTAAAAAGGATGCGGCGATAGATATTTACCATCCAATAAGAATACCTAAAGCTGAATAAAACTGCAAAACAGCAACTTTGACATTAGCCTCAGGGTTGCTGCAGAAGATCTCTACGACTTCCTTTAATTTGGCATCATTCCAAACAGGATATCTTGAGGGGGGCCATAGCTTCATCATGGAACTCAAGAGAGAAACCATCTCTAGGAAATATTCAAGAGGCCTTGCTTTATCAAATAAAACCCTCAAGTTACCAATTACTTGAGTAACAACACCATATTTTTCCAACGTATCCCAAATTTCTTTCTCTTTCTTGACGCCAACATTTGACACTATAAAATTTAGAGCAGTTGCACTCATAATAGCAACTTGAGAATCATGGTTAGATAACAAAGGAGATAAAGAATGACTAAGATGATTGAAGTGCTGCCGCAACATCGAAGTAGGAATAATCCTAACCAACTTCACTGTAACTTCTAACCCCATTGAAAGCACAGCTTCATTTAAGGAGTGCAGAATACCTACTATTGCCTTGACCACATCAGGAATTGAATCCTAAATTGCAAGTAACCACATAAGTGAAAAAACTGAAAGACTACAGTCAAATGCATATAAATTCCCAAAATTGAGCTGACTTTCCATTGTTTTAAGCATGTTCTAAATGATTATTATTTCAAATATATTATAGAAAAATAAAAAAAAAATAAAAATAAAAAACCTATTCCAATTATAGCAGCATTAACACTTGATAGTATTGGTATGGGTAAGAAATTGATCAAGGCAGGCAGAAATTCAAGTTTCTAACTTTTACAAAAATGTCTGTGATTTAGAATCCTTTTGACAAAAAAGAATATTAGCTACTCCCTCTGTCCCATAATACTTGGGACGTTGGGGTGGACACGTAGTTTAAGAAAACTACAAGTGGGTCCATTTAAAACATTTGTTTATTGTTTAAAAGATTTTCTTTTGTACTTTTATATTGCAAGATTACAAAAAGAAGGGTGGAAGTGGGGTAGGTGAGGAGAGAGAAATTTGGAAAAATATTTTTCTATTAGTGGTCATATTTCATATTAAGTAACGTGTCAAGTATTGTGGGACGGGCGAAAATGGGAACTGTGTCAAGTATTATGGGACAGAGGGAGTATTAGGTTAATAGCATCGATTTACTACATAAATCAACATATTTTTCTTTCTACTTGTCTGTTATTACTTTGTGGAAGTAAATAACTCGTCCTAGGGAATCTCTCAAATAAAAAATAAATTAATAAAAATTAGATACATAAAATAATAAATAAAATAAATAAATAAACCTAGTAACTAAAAATATCGTGGGAGACATCCGTATTGTTGGGACCATAAAGTTTGTTATATAATATTCGATATATTAGATTTAAACAAAAAAAAAAAAAAAAATTCATTGAAATATTTATGACTGTCCACAATTTCCATCTATTAGTTGGATAAGTCACATCAGATTTAGGTTTAGATAATTATAAGTTAAATCGATTTATAAAGGTCAACATGTGGCTAATCCTAATGTGTACGGGGCTTCAATTTGACCCAAAAAATCAAATTGCTCAGGCATATTTACTCCCTCTGCTACATAAGCTAGTTTCAAGTCAGATTTCAGCAACTTTGATCATGTTTTTGCACTACAAAAGGTAGAAACATTTATAAGTGAAATCTTGTTAAATTCAATTCAATGTATATTTTGAAAATATTTGCTTACCTTATGAATATGTAATTAGAGACTTCAGCGATCAAAAGTGTAGAGAACAACAGTGTGGGGGATGACTCTAAACCCTTGATTTAAGTTTTCATAAAAATGAAAAAAAAAAAAAAAAAAAAAAAAAAAAAAAAAAAAAAAAACCCACTAGTGTGACTAAATCAAAGTATATAATAAAACCACAAGTTCTATATACAAATCAAATATTAGAAAATCATGTAAATGAAGGAACCATTTAATGTAGTGTATCTCAATTCTAGATCTTAAGGAAGGCAAACAACATACGAAGTATAAATAATCAATTATTAAACTGCATCAATACATGATATTAAAATTCCTAACCAAATGTGACACCAAAATTTAGGTCACTTAGTAATGGGAAAATTAGAGAGATATTGAGTGACTAAAAGCTGGATCAGTGAGGCAACAAAAAGGTGTTTCCTATAAAAGACTATATCTCAAATGTCACCTAAGCTAGCTCAAATTTACTAATTACATGTAGATTGGACATTGGAGTCAAAGAATTGTTATCTTATCGACACAATTTAAAGAACCTTATAGTGCTTTGCAAATAAGCCAACTCTACGTAATGTAGCATCAATAAGTCAATAGTTTGATCATACCTATTACACTCTCACATTTTATTTTAATTGATTTGAATCAATCATATGGTAGCCTAAAATATTGAGCTATCTATGACATCGTCAAGCATTGGCATAAAATTGACTGGCTGAGATATTTTCTAATCAGTAAATTTCCATGGTTGGACAAATAACCTAGACTTATTTGCTACTTTAACCTCCATTATAAGGCTTGACCAACCTGATAAGTCTAGCTATGTGTTTGAGTACTAACCAATCACCCCTAGCCTTGATCATATTTGTTATCAAGGATCTGAATGTTTGATTTTAGCCCAATGAATGTGACCACCTCTAGCTTTCAGTTTTTGATCTTCTACCGTATTCAAAGATTGACTCTTAGAATTTAATGAAACAATGGTATTGGAGTCAAATAAAATTTTGAGGTTGAATCTAGCTTAAGGTCAGAAATGGATACAGTTATAACAGCTTCTAATACAAAATGAAATGAACATACATACAGACCCATAGAGCTTTCAAAGGAATTCCAACCATAAAACTGACTTAACAACTTAATCCACCATAAAAGCCCACCTAAAAATTTCATTATCAAAAATGGAACATACTAACTGAGTAATGGCAAACCTGTTCCTATAAAACCTAGATCCTCTGTGCAGCATTAGATATAAATCCATTTTCTTAGCAGTCTATCAGTATATCACCAAAATTTTGATAGCTGAAAAAGCTTCGTCTTGAAACATTTTGCGCAGGCAATATCAATTGTTGTCTAAAAAATCAGCACTAAGCAGTATGTAAACAGCTAAATAAAACAAATGCTGAAAATATCAGCTAATACACCCTGTACAAAACAGTAATACATGGGCTTCAAACCGGTTATATGGTATAACATTGCTAAGCTTGATTATGATAAATGCTATGAGTACTGAAGCCATGCAATTACGTCTTAGTGTTGACATTATCTCAACAATTTGGAAGCCTGTGGTGCAGAAAGTAAAAAGAATACAAAATAATACAAGTACATGGAATGGTTCCAATGTTGAATTCTAGATTTATGTGTCATGATCTACATACTAATCAGCAATTAACAATAAAATTTTGGATAAACCAATTTCAAGTTAAAACAAATTTTATCAAATATTAGGAGACGGAAATATACATGCACACGAACCTAATAGAATTGCAAGCTTGTGAACACTTATTAGATTAACAGATACTCTCTGCAATAAGCAAGTTTTACAGATGATGGATCATATGCTTGGTACCTTTACTATAGGCATTTGCCATTTCTCTGGAGAAACACCATCAAGAAAAGCAGATATAGATCGGACTACCAGCCTTTGTATCTCAACATCATTGGTACTCCATTCCTTTTCTTTATTATATGAGTACCTATTAATGAAAAACCTTTTTAGTGCATGATAATCATAACACTTCACAAACGAATCACTAGGAAATAGCTGCAACGTCATTGAAAACCATAAGTTGCTAACATTGTAGACAACATAAAACTATTCGGACTACATTAATCTTCACTGTCACATATTGCTTAGCAATATAGATGTATTAAACAGCTCCCTGCCTCCTTCCCTTTTGCTACTTTATTGTTTTATTGATTGAATTAAAACTCTCAAAGAATCTCAAAAGAGTTCTTGATCAAGCACTCGAATTCATAGGTCATTTGCAATTCAATTAAAACTCCTCATTAAAATGGCTCCCACCCATGATTGAAGAATGTACAAATTCAAGTTTCACGGCGTTAACATAATCACGACTAATTTGTAGTTGCAATTGCCTATTTTAAAGTTTCTAAAATTTCATAAACAATCTATCCATAATCAACAAATAACAACTATCTATCTCTTATTCTCTAACATGACAAGAGAAAAATGATTGAAAAAAAATAAAATTCAGCATATAACCAATCAAATAGCAGTAAATCGAATTCGATCCAAGGTCTTGGGTACCGCCGCCAAGAAATTACCAAGGGGCTAACATCTACAAACAACCAATTATCAGTACTGCACTATTTCAACAACAATTACCCACATACTTTGTAATAAACTAAATTTAAAACCATCTTATTCAACTAAAAATATAATCCTATATACCAAAGAAATCATCCTGAAAAAACCCAAAAAAATTTATATCATTTTGTCGACAACAAACTGTAAATTCTACTATGTAACACCCAAAACAAAACAATCAAAAGGTTGCAAAAATAAAATCCGCCTAAAACCCAGAAAAAATAAATGAATAAAAACCTGAAACCAAGGTTTAATCCATGGTAGAGGCGTTGGTGAAGAGTGGCGAGGTGAGAGGTTGGTGGTAGTTTCTTGGTGTCTGGTTTTTTCCCTCTTTTAGATGATTTCATTGTGTTTGATTGTTGGGCGATTTCTTTCGCAAACTCTTGTAATAATCAGACTAAAATAAGCTCTAGTTCCTTCTACCATGGTGGGACTTCGGTCTGGCAGTTCGGTTTGACCTCAGTTTGAAACGGTTTCGGTTTGAAACGGTTCGGGTTAAAACGGTTTCATTTAGACGGCGGGTCGGTTCTGTTTCGGGGTTTTCTGATGTCCTGCGGGAGAGTTACAATTCCGAGACTGGAACCGGACGCCTGTACCTGCAAAACAACAGAAACTCCTGGTGGTGGGAGCTCCGCCTCCGACGGTCAAGTTAGTACTTGATTAAGGAGTAATTAATGCGGAAATTAAAGTGATTGGGTCTCTCTAGGTGAGAGTGTTTAATGTAGGTAATCTGCTTTGTTAGCGAGATCAGCCTGTTATTTCTGTGTGTAATTAATGTAATCTCCCTTAATGAGGATTAAGGGAGGTATTTATAACCTTGGGAAACGTGCCCATCCTAGGTTTAGGTTAACCTAGGGCTGATTGGGCTTCCCTCAGAAGTTGGGCCTGGGTGGCCGGTTTCTCCATTAGGCATGGAGTATGCCACGTGTCATGACATAATAGGTCCAAGGTGGACGAATAAGCGTGTGCCACGTGGCAAGCCCTGACAGTTCCAACTGGGGGACACTTGGCAGGACCTAATTGGCCCACGTGGCGCATTCCGATTGGTGGGAGCAAAATCCCCTAATCATTTGCCCCTCACAGGTGGCACGTGACTGGTCACGTGTTACCTGTGACAGGTGTCGCACTGTAACAGGCGACGGCCTGCTACAGGTGTCAGTCAGCGAAAGGCCGAGAGATTTTCCCACCCAAATTTTGAATTCTGAAAGTGACCCTTCGCCTTCTCACTTCGCCTATATAAGGGAGTGTTGACTTCAGTCATTTTCACACTTGAGAACTTTGTGAGAGAACATTCGGACCCCTGAACTTGCTCTGACAATTTGGACCTTTTCTGCCTACCGCCTGTTCTGACAAGCCGACTGCAAAGGATTTTCAGAACTTCATCAATCGTCACTCGTTCAGGTAACTGTCGGTTCTCTTACTCTTTAATTTTCTTTTTATTCTATTCTTTTTTGAAATGGCACCACGGAAGCACACGACACGACCTAGGTTAGTGATCAGCCGGTCACCGGGGACGGCTGAATCTAGGACTAGGAGTGCCGCCTGCCCTTTTCCGGACCCATCTTTGCTCTTTATACAAAGTCCGACTGTATCTGTGTCTATGCAGAGCATGATGGCCAGAACAAAAAAGACTGCCAGGATCTCAAACTCAGACGGCTCCTCCCACAGGGTGCCGATTAGTGAAACATCTGACCAGGCGCCAGATGTGGGGGTGAAACAAAGCGGCTTGGAAGCCGGAAGCTCTGAGGGAGGAATCAAAGTGACCCCTTCCCATTTTTCAGTTGACAATTCTTCATTCTCTCCTGCTCCTTTTAAAGGAGAGGAGGCGGGCCCCTCCGGGAGAGGGGAGGAGTCGTCCTCTTCGGACTCGTCAGAGGACGATTCCGAGTCTAGCTCTTCTGGCCATGCTTCTCTGGACACAGAAGAGAAAAACAGTCGCCTGCAAGAGGCGAGGCTTTCTCACGCAGTTGATAAGGGGGACAATTGGGCGGAGCCATCCGCCTCTTACCGAGAGCAAAATACCCCCTACTACTGCACGGTACCTCGGGGCCGGATCACAGCCATGCAAGAGAAAGTGAAGAGCTTTATCGCAAACCACACCATGGGCCCCGACTTTTTAGTGTTCGTGCCGGATCCAGAAGACACAGTCGTCTGGCCGGCTGGTACTAGTTATGATAGCGCCTGCTTTGGCTGCTACGAGGCGGCCATCAAGGCTGGGCTGCGCTTCCCATTACATCCGGCTGTTCAGCGGATCTTGGATGGATATGAGTTGGGGTTATGGCAGTTAGCCCCGAACTCCTGGGTCAACGTACTCGCCTATGTGGCCGGGTGCGAACTGCACGGGGTGGAGCCAAGCTTCGAGGCTTTCGCCCACATGAACTACCTCAGCCGGACCCCTAAGGCAGGCGGTACCGGCTGGTATCAATTGACGAGCCACAGGGGCTACCTCATGACGAGAGGTAAAGCAAACAAATGGAAGGACTGGCGGAGCACCTTCCTCATCATTGAGAGTTCAGACACAGAGCTGAACAAGCGCTTCAACAGGTGGAACAGGAATCCGCCCCTTCTTGCAGGCGGCCGTAGCATGCCGCCTGTCCCCCCCCCCCCCCCCCCAAGGCTAAGAAAAAGATCCTTGATAAAGGACTCTTTAAAGTAGAGTCAAAGGTCGACTCTACTTCAGGGGTACGAGAGCAAGTACCCCTGCACTGCGTCCCGAGCTTCAAATGGCTCTATGACGAGTACTTTTTGGCCGCCTGTGGCCTCAGCAGTCGGTGCTCAAGAGGTAGTCAGCCTGTCGAATACTATGTTGTTTCATGCATTTCTTGTTATGACTTGTATTAACTTTGCTAATTGTTTTTGCAGCGGACGCCATGAGCAAAATTACCGCCTCGAAGACTGCGGCGGCCATGTTGCGGGCCTCCATCATGCAACAAGCTTCAACCGACTCCCCCAAGAAGGGGGCACCCTTGGTGGGCTTCGAACCTTTAACCCTCTTTTTGGAGTTGTGTTTATGCATATACTGACTTTTTCTTCTTTTTTTAGACGGGTGCTCTAAGAGCTTCTTCTTCCCAACAGCCGGACCCCAAGGCCCGGAGGACGACTGTTGCGAGCTCTCCTGGTTCTGGCAGGAAACATGTGGCGGCTGAGAAACAGCCGGCCACTTCTTCTAAAACTCCAGCTGGGCCGCCTAGAAGTATGAAGTTGTCCTTGTAAATTTTAGACTTGCTCCCTTTTTTACTAGGTCTAATCCATTTGTTTATGCTTGATGCAGCCGGCCCTCAGGAGCCTGACTTGGTCGAGGTGGCCAAGTCTATGATCAAGGTCGTTCCTCCAGCTGAAAGGGAGGCGGTCAGGGGTGTCGGCACCCTTGACCTAGACGGGATTGCAGGGGTCCTTGCTGAGGTACACTTAGCATATTTTTGAGTATTTGAATTCCTGGACGCCTGTTTTCTTTTTTGTTTGGAAACTGACGCCTGTTCCTTTTTACTTAGGCCCTGCTCCGAGTGAACGGCCTTCGCAAGCCGCTTGACCGGAAGAACAAAGAGGTAAAGGCTGCAAAAGCTATGGCCGCCTCTAACTGTGATAAGGCAATGTTTCAAATTGCCCAAAATGAAGTTCTGACCATTGATATTCTTTATTACCAGGCGCAGGCTACCGCCGCTATCCGGGCTCAGTTAGAGGCGGCCCAGCAGAGGAATAGCGAGCTGGAGGCGACCATCAACAATCTCAAGGCCGAGCTGAGACCTCTTCGCCAAAAAATGTCCTCATACGAAACCTTGGAGAAATCCTTGGCGAGCGTAAAGGTACGCCTGGTGGCCCAGGAGAAGAGTCTTACTCAGGAGCTCTCGGAAAAGGCCGATCAAGAAAAGAAAGAGCTGGTCCGGGAGATGATGGAAGACTCTGCTCAAATCCAGCGCATGACTTGGGGCCGCCTCTTCCCCAATGCCGACTTTGCCTCATGGGAAAAAACGTACCGCCAGTGTTCTGACACATATAATCAAGAGATCCTGGCGGCTGCTGAGGAAGAGGCGTTGGAGGAAGCGTTGGAGGAGGAGGAGCCGGTAGTGGCGCTTATGCCGCTTGGGGGTAATGCATCAAAGAAGAATGCAGCTGAAGCCGAGTCCAGCAAGAAGAGTGCTGACCAGGCGGCAGCTGCTAATACTGAAGATCTGCCCCCTTCTTAAGCTTTATGTATTCTTTCCACGGCCTGCGTGCCGTTTGTTTTGTATTTACCCGGCCAGGGGGCCGGGGATCTGAATATTTTGCCGGTCTTTAATGACCGGCTTCTTTTTAATGAATTTTGAGCTTCAACTTCAAATTTGTATAAGTATTGAATATTCTGATATCCAATTGTTCACTATACCGACTGTTTTACATGGCCGATAGTTGCAGACAGGTACGGATAGTTAGTCACGCCGCCTATGCCCCTGGACGAATGGTTGTCTGTTTCCAGGCTAGACGAACAGTCGGCCATTTAGCCAATCGGTATTCAAACTATTTTAAAGACTGGATCCCCTTTAGGCAGGCGGTCCTGTCATTTGTAAATTTAACCTAGGAAAGTTGTCTGACCAAGTAAACATGATTGTTACCTAGTTGCCAAGGAACTGAGTAGTAGAGGTATCAAGCGGCGGGTACCGGTTGTTTCCCTTTATTCGCCAATGTTTGTTGGCTTTTAACTCATAATTTGTTAACCTAGCAGGAGTAGTGGTTGAGAGCCCCTGTTTGCTAAAAACAGGCGGACGACTCATACCTTTTAGGCTCCATACTAAGTTTGAGGGAGTGACTATAAGTTAACATAGGAGTTACTTAGTCTCCGTCACACTCTAGATTGAGTAGTAGAGGTACCAGGCGGCGGAGGCCGGCTGATCCCCTTGATTCGCCAATGTTTGTTGGCTATTAACTCAAGAGGTTACCTAGTAGGAATAGGGGTTAGAGTGCCCCTGTTTGCCAAAAAACAGGCGGTCTACTCAAACCTTTTAGGTTCCATACCAAGTTTGTGGGAGTGACTATGAGTTAACATTGGAGTTACTCAGTCGCCGTCACTCTTGCTTGAGAAGTAGAGGTACCAGGCGGCGGAGGCCGGCTAGACCCCTTGATTCGCCAATGTTTGTTGGCTATTAACTCAAGAGGTACCCCCTGCATTTATCCCAAGTAATACAGGCGGTCATCTGACTCAGATGTCAACTGCTACCACTGGTTTGGTTAGTGATAGAGTTATCCTTGTCTCAAAAACGGCTATGTGGTTGCCCTTGGGGGCAGTCGTATAGGTGCCGTGTAATTAGTTTATAGAGCAATGTTCCACCCAAAAGGGAGCTGCTCTCTGCGACGAATTTCATCCGGAGGGATGCCGCCGGACGCCTGCTATGA